CAACTAGTTCACTGAAGTTCGAAGAAGTATCACTGGTATGATCGGGGATGGTTATTAATGTCTAGCCAGTGAGGATATTGTTCTGGAGTTGAATTGAGTTTCTGATTTTATATAGATTTTCTTGTGTTTTGGAGTTATTTAGGATCGAAGAAGACATGGCATGGTCACAAGCAGGGGGGCTGATAGATATACTTGTAGCAATGCCAAGTGGTTGTAGGATTGTGTGGTACGTGGAATGTATTTCCAGGGTGTGCAAGGTACCCCTGTTGTATACTGCGTCTCCCCCTCATGGTGGTGCGTGCACGCGTGCGTTCAGTTCGTGTGAGTTCATGTGAATTCATGTGAAGGAGAAGTTTATGCAACAAACCCTACATGTCTTTCCTCCTTGGCGCGAGTTCGCCGTGTTGCCGACACCCTATTCAACACACGTCTTGCGACAAGCTACCCCCAGTTCGGATCATCCTAACATATTTATGCTGCAAAACCACTATCACGACCCCAATCTCTTCCCCATACATGCGTCCGGTATGTGCTTACGTCTAGCTGGGTAGGAGCGAAACCCGCTCCAGGTTCGGGTCTTTCCTCATTTCGTCATCGGAGGCGACGTCGATGACCAACGCCTGGGTGACCGAGTCGTGCCCTTCCCTATCACTCTGCGCACTCGTAAGGTGACATGCATCATACGCTTGAAATCAGGGACGTGCAGGAGGCGATGGGTGAACAAATGAAATTACCAACTGGCTGGGTGTGGCAGTATACCATGTCGCATGTAGCCACGCCAGCCGATCTTATTACAACTCGGGGACGAACAAACACGCCGGTGTTGAGGCTACGCCAGGCTCCCCACAACAAGAGAAAAGGGAACAGAGCCTCGCCAAACAAACAGAATACGTTCAACTCACAGCAGAGTAAGGGATTTCAACTACAATGAAGATGGTTTACGGTAGTTTATATTCGCAGAGCTGCCCGGTACCGTGAAGGGGTACTTTTTGTTCTACGAGGGTTAACTTTCTTCAAGGTTCGCACGTAGATGAATGCGCGCAATACACAAACAAAAGGAAAATTGGCCTTGAGGGGGGGGGGTTGTACTCGTAGTCGTGCATGCCGCAGTCGTGAGACCATTGACCTCGTATCCCTACAAAGCCGGGACAGAGCACGCCGGGTTCTCACCGGACCAGGCTCTCACCTCACCAATCGCGAAGCGCCGTGAGCTATTCGGCGAGTCGCGTGAAGGGTGCGATGCATTTTGTCGAGGGGGTTCGGCATCTTGTGCTTACTTCCTTGCGTACGGATGACAGCTGCGTATGACTTAATTTATTTTCTGGTGCTTTCACTTCCAGAGACAGTTGTAAGCACTGTGTAACTGCCTCGAGGGTGCTTGACCATTTTAACACAACGTGGTGCGATCATCCCCCTTGCGCGGAGTGAGGGTTCTCCACCCCGCACAACATGATCTACTCGACCACCATTATGGTTACCGCCAAAAAAAAAAACGGAGGTAAAAAAAAAAAAAACGGTAACCTGGTTGCCGAGTTCACGAAGTGAATTGGCTTGTTTTACAACGTCGTTGCCAAGCGACGAAAACCCAACCCCGATGGCAAACACCGGGGGGGGCGGCTTGTTTTACAACGTCGTTGCCAAGCGACGAAAACCCAACCCCGATGGCAAACACCGGGGGGGGCGGCTTGTTTTACAACGTCGTTGCCAAGCGACGAAAACCCAACCCCGATGGCAAACACCGGGGGGGGCGGCTTGTTTTACAACGTCGTTGCCAAGCGACGAAAACCCAACCCCGATGGCAAACACCGGGGGGGGCGGCTTGTTTTACAACGTCGTTGCCAAGCGACGAAAACCCAACCCCGATGGCAAACACCGGGGGGGGCGGCTTGTTTTACAACGTCGTTGCCAAGCGACGAAAACCCAACCCCGATGGCAAACACCGGGGGGGGCGGCTTGTTTTACAACGTCGTTGCCAAGCGACGAAAACCCAACCCCGATGGCAAACACCGGGGGGGGCGGCTTGTTTTACAACGTCGTTGCCAAGCGACGAAAACCCAACCCCGATGGCAAACACCGGGGGGGGCGGCTTGTTTTACAACGTCGTTGCCAAGCGACGAAAACCCAACCCCGATGGCAAACACCGGGGGGGGCGGCTTGTTTTACAACGTCGTTGCCAAGCGACGAAAACCCAACCCCGATGGCAAACACCGGGGGGGGCGGCTTGTTTTACAACGTCGTTGCCAAGCGACGAAAACCCAACCCCGATGGCAAACACCGGGGGGGGCGGCTTGTTTTACAACGTCGTTGCCAAGCGACGAAAACCCAACCCCGATGGCAAACACCGGGGGGGGCGGCTTGTTTTACAACGTCGTTGCCAAGCGACGAAAACCCAACCCCGATGGCAAACACCGGGGGGGGCGGCTTGTTTTACAACGTCGTTGCCAAGCGATGAAAACCCAACCCCGATGGCAAACACCGGGAGGGGGGGGGATCGTTTTTCCGGCTGTCTTATTCGTTTCCGGCTGTCTTTTTCTTTTCGTTATCCCAAAAAATACAACTGACCATGGAATCCCTCACAACAACAAAAGAGACAGCTCGTTTAAGCCACGCCGCCTTGCCTTTTTCTGGGGCCACGTTGGATAAGTCGGGGCTGTCACGAAGGCCTGTCAATTTTGGGTCACAACCACATGACGGTTGATCCCCGCAAACTCTAACGGTGTTCACACTAGCCGTGTAATGTGACTGTTGCAGAGGCGGTAGCATCAGCGGTATAGTCTATTGCGTTTTTTATTTTCGTTCGGCTGGACCAGGTGGATAACCCGATGTGTGCGGCACGAGCAAGCGGCAAACGAGCCGAGAGAGCCTGGACGATGCAAGGGTGGGTCTTTTTTTCGTATGCTGTCCACCATTGCAAACCCAACTTTAGGGCGCCCTTTAGCCTCCTGATCTGTGCCAACGACCACACAAGACGGACCATATGTACACCTCAAGTCTACACATAAGGCGTGACGTGGAGCAGAAATGCTTCCATGGAAGCTGACTACAAGAACTTTCATGGTAACAGCGGTGGAAATCAA